CTTTCTTTCTTTTTTTCTTTCTCTTTCTTTTTCAGTACTGGCGATTGAACCCAGAGCCTTCACCATGACCTACATCCTCACCCCTTTTAGATTTTTGTTTTATTTTCAGACAGGGTCTTACTAAAGGCCTCCTGCCTCAGGCTGAGCTTGTGCTTGCAATCCTCCTGCCTCAGCCTCCTGAGTAGCTGGAATGACAGGAGCGTGCCACCAGGCTGCCAATGCTGGCTGGTCTGAATCAAGCCCCCTTTCCTTGCTGGGGCCACAAGAGCGTGCTGGGGCTGGGAAGCCAAATTACTCAGCCTGAGAGAAACCAGCACTGGGAGGAAGGCAGCCCTTACTGGAAGTTTCTGCCGCTCCACACTCATATCTGACCCAGACTCAGTGCTTCTCGAGTAACTGTGATTCATCCTTGGGTTTGTGCACGGTGCTGCAGCCCTTTGCCTTGGGACAACCATCAGGAGGGACGCAGGGTCTGGGGGCTCGGGGAACCTGTACAGACCATTTGTGCCCCAGCTAGACCCATGTGACCTCATCAGGCTGCGCACTGGCCCTGTGGTGCTGTCCCCGGGAACCATATTCCCCAGTTTGCAAAGGCCCAGAGGACATGTGTATTGTCCAGGGAGGCAGCCGTGTATGCAGCCAATCTGTTTCCTCCCAGTGCTGCTCTGGGGGACACAGGGTGCGGGTAAAGTGTTGCTCCAGAATGTTCCAGAATCTACCGTGGGAAACCACTGGGCATTTCTCTGTGACCTCTGTGGTAGGGGGGACTTTTTGTTTGCTTGTCATATGTATTACACAGGGTCTCTCTCACCATGTAGTTCAGGCTGGTCTTGAGCTCACTACGTAATCCAGATTGGCTTCAACTCACGGCAGTCCTCCTGCCTCAGCTTCCTGCATGCTAAGATTACAGATGTGCAGATGTGCGCCACCATGCCTGGCTGGTGAGGGACTTTTGTTGGGGGGGGGCACCAGGGACCAAACTCAGGACCTTGCACTTACCAGGCAGGTGTTCATGGCCCTGAGCTATCTCCCTGGCCTGGCCTGGCGAGGGACTTTTACGCATCATTCAGCCAGTTACTGATTGAACTTCTCTAAGTCCTTTGGTGACAGTCATCTAACCATCTACCCATGCAATCCGTCTTCACCAGGCAGCTGCCCCAGACCAGGTGCAACTCCTCAAGGCTTCTGTCCTAGCCCATCCGAGGTCCTCATCTGGCTGTTTGTTTGCCTCCAGGGACAAGGGGCTCACTCCTTCCCTGTGTAGCTTACACGGGGCCAGCTCGGACCCTAGCTCTTCGGGCTGTGCTAGAACCATCTCCTTGAAGCCTCCGCAAGGCGGGGAGGCCAGTTGCCTTCCTCTCTCCTCAGAAGCACTTCTCAGCAAAGTGAGAGCCTTTGCCTGGTCCCCCGAAGTGTATCCCTCAGGCGGCCTGGCCTTGAAGCTGCTCTGAACAATTCATTCATTGCTCTGCGGGCTGCTGAGCACTTACCGTGAGTCACGCGCAACAGAGCAGGGGCCGCAGGCAGGGCGGACCCGTGGGAGTGGGGTTCCACAAGGAGCGGAGGGCGCCGATGCCAGCCTGGGGGAGATGAACAGAGAGTGGCCGAGGAGAAAACAGAACCGAGGCGCCCAGCGGCCCTCTGAGGGCTGGAGAAGCCAGCGTGCCCGGGGTGCCATGTGGGAGGAGCGGGCAGCCTCAAAGTCGTGGGCTATGCAGAGCCACTGGGCTGTGACCAGGCTTGGGGTAGGGAAGTGACATCAAGTGACATGTGTGCTGTAGGGCCAAAGGACAGGAGCTGCAAGTTCCGTTCTGTTAAGTTCAAGCGTGAGGTGGGGGCTGGGAGTTGACCAGCCGAGCTGGAGCCCCACACGGAGCTGGGGCCCGGATGTGGTGGGCCTCTGGTGCCAGAGGCCGGTGCAGATTTTGGAGCAATGTAGCCAAGTCGCTCTGCTGTTAGGGAAGCCCGAGCG